CATAGGAAAAAACAAAACAAAACAGAATGTAACTGTTATGCTTCAGCAAGTAAGAAGCTACTAGTATGTCATTCTGATGCCTGGTTTAACAAAAGTGTGCTATTAAGAACATAAGAACATAAGAACATAAGAGACGCCAATGTTGGATCAGGCCAAAGGCCCATCCAGTCCAACACTCTGTCACACAGTGGCCAGAAGTACCAGTGCCATCAGGAGGTCCAGCAGTGGGGCCAGGACATTAGAAGCCCTCCCACTGTTGACCCCCCCCCCCAAGCACCAAGAAGACAGAGCATCACTTGCCCCAGAGCCCCTAGCTATACCTTGTGGCTAATAGCCACTGATGGACCTCTGCTCCATATGCTTATCTAATTCCCTTTTGAAGCCGTCCATGCTTGTAGCACCCACCACTTCCTGTGGCAGTGAATTTCATGTGTTAATCACTCTTTGGGTGAAGAAGTACTTCCTTTTATCCGTTCTAACCCGACCGCTCTGCAGTTTCATGGAGTGCCCACGAGTTCTTGTATTGTGAGAAAGGGAGAAAAGTACCTCTTTCTTTACCTGCTCTTTCCCATGCATAATCTTATAAACCTCGATCATGTCACCCCTCAGTCGTCTTTTCTCCAAGCTAAAGAGCCCTAAGCGCTTTAACCTTTCCTCATAGGGAAAGTGTTCCAACCCTTTTATCATTCGAGTTGCCCTTTTCTGCACTTTTTCCAAAGCTATAATATCCTTTTTAAGGATATTATGTTGCATGGCAACCACTAAGATACCCTTCCACAAACATCAGCAGGGCTGTCAGCCTCTTACAGGTTATTAATACTTGATTGTTGTAGATTTTTATTAATCCATTAATAGTGGGGTTGTCAGTTCAAGAATATTTTGTTGACAAACACTCTGATTTTAAGTGCTTAATCAATTTATTAATTAGTTAAATGTATATACATTCATATATCACAAAAAAATTCAGGACTGCCTGGTTCTGTTATGCAGCATTTTAGCAGTGAGAGGCATGGCATTATTTTGTTCTCATAATTCTGGAACAGACTACAGAAGCAAGAATGGCTTCTGCAATTTACAGATACCCTGTTGGGTCAGAGATCTTTGGGGAAACAAACTCCATTGCCTTGCAGCCAAACAGACTATCTGAAATAATGAACGGTATATATTTTTACCTACTACTCAGGCTGGTGAACTTCAGGTATGCCATGTGGAAACTGAAGATCTCTTTTCTTGTGAAGAGGAAGTAAAAAGAAGGCCCCTTTGCTGATCAAAAGGCAATTGGCATGTGAGATGGGGGCTTTTGCCATAGAATTTGGGTGGATTCCCAGAGAAGTGTGATGTCATTGCTGTGTTTCCCCAGAAGTGAAGTCATGCCATTAGCTGGTGGCCATTTTAAAAAATAAATTCTTCTACTGCTATTCAGAGCAGTGGCAAGAAACATCAGCTGGGGGCAGGGGATCCCTAACAGGGGTTGCTTTGAAATTTATTGTCTTGAAATGAATGGTCTGCAGATTGTGACTCTTTTCTAAAATCTGCAGTTTAATAAACCTCATGCTCCATTTCTGGTGTATCTGTAGGTCACAAGGAAGTTATCCATGGTATAAATGTCATTAGAATGCTTTTGATTGCACTTAGAAATAGATAAAAGATTTTTTTAAAAAACCAAAATTGTGGCAACAGTTTGGATAGGAAAAATAGGAGGACACCTGTACCTAGTGTTCACCACCAGATAAGTGTAAAGAAGAAAAAATGCTGCATTGACCCCATGAAATGACTATTGGAGACGGGTAAAATGGGTTGGACCAAGCCAGCTTTTTTGTTCAGTCTCAGCCCATTCCACTCCTTATTACAGCCCTTGTTCCACATGACATTTGTACATGCAGGTCCCACAAACCCAAGTATAGTCTTTTTGGTGGTCCAAGGGGACCCCTTTTTACCAGTGAAAAACCTGAAAGGGCCCAATCAAGTATCTGATTCTGTCATTGAGATAATGCTAAGAATAAGAGGACAGAATGTCATATTTAAGAGGGGAGGGGACCACTATGAATTTTTATGTAATTCTCATGAAAAATAAAACATATATATTGTTCCGCATGTTGAGAAGCCAAAAAAAGATACTGCTTCTCAGGAAATAAGTAGCAATAAATCAAGAATAATTCCTGTAACACAGCAAATTACAATCTTGTCCCTTCAGGAAGCATAGTGCTGGATGCTGGAATCCCCACTGAAAGCTATACCAATCTCATCTCTCCTCTAAAGGCACTGATGACAATATGCCAGTGCTACAATTCTTTATGACCATAAAGCATCTGGGAATGCATGGGGAAAATATCTATGTAATAATTTGTGGAATACAATAAGCAGCCAAGTGCTTAAGGCGAGTTGGGTCAGTTGTAAATTTGCCATTCTGTGTACTGCCTTCTTTTCCAATTTATGAAGTGGGAGGGGTGCCCACAGAGCAGTAAATCTCTGTTCTTGATGTTTATTCCTTGCACGGGAAGAAAATTACAAAGCTAAGTAGTTTGTCAAGCAAGATGAAAGCCAAATGGGCAAAATGAGAAGCCATAAACTTCAGATGACTTCAGCCTGGCCACTGAGCTCTAGCTGAGGCAAAGCTGATACCTACTGAAAGCAGAGATGGAATTAAAAAAAAATGGGGGGGGGGGAATCCAGGATTCTTGTTGTTGTGGCTTCTCAAATATTCTTTTAAAATGTTGACTTTCCAGTGTTCTTCTAAAGTTTCTAAATCCAACAGTGTTCATAACTAGTAATATTGAGGGGAAATTAAAATTTAAAGTTTTTGAAAGCAAATTTGTCCTCTGAGAATTGGCTTGAGAATTGTTTTCTCGAATCTGCTTCAGCTTACCTTGCCCAATCACTCGTTTAAACTGGGCTGCCATCCATGCAAAGAAGCTATGTGTGCCACTGAAATGATTTGCATGAATAGAAGCTCAGTTTAAATGAGTGAATACAAAATTACACAGTTAAATAACTTCCTCTTGCAAGCATCACATCTGCATCTGTCATGAAAGCAGCAACAAAATTTTGTAGGTGGAAAACACGCAACACATTTATCAGCAATAAGTGGGAATTATCAGTTGGTCAGCAAGACAGTACGCCTTGAAATGGATAGTACAGTGTTGCTGAGTACTCATACTATCAAGCATCTCATGCTTTCAAAACTACCCAGACTGCACCTATTCACAGTCCCTCCAAGAAAGGGGCTTGACAGCAATTGAGGCCCTTAAACCAATTCATGTTAGGATAATGTATGAGCCCATCAAGGGTTTGGAGAAGGTTTCAGACATCCAGAAAACAGTCAATTTATTCCAGATTATCCCCAGAATTAATGGAAGGAATCCTACTCATTCATAGTGCATTTTTGGAACGTGAACAAGAGCCACTGGATCAGAGTGAAAATCCTGAAAACATGCACTTTATCTGAATTTATCCTGGTGTACAGCAAGAAGGTAGTGCATAGTGGTGAACTGTGGCTCACAAAATGTCCAGAATCTTCGTATTTAAATACCACCTAATTATCATCTGGATATGACTTGTTGTGGTTAGAGAATACATGTGCACACTATCAGCTTGATGTTCAGCAGTCTTCAGCTAACTTTGATTTTATGAAAGAATATATTCAGTGATAAGAAGCATGGCAGAAGACTCACCTACGCCATTGTTTGCAGTCCAGGAGGCAGGGGAGGCTGGAAGGGGACTTGTTTGGCCGCATGGCCCCCTCCGGCTATGCAAAAAGAGCAAGCTAGTTCTCCCCTCAGCATGTCATGTCATGCAGCATGTCAGAGGGTGGGCGCAGGCAGCAAGAGCCCAGGGGCTACTCGAGCAAGCCTGAAGGTGTTCCTCAGCCTCTGTTCCTTGGCTTGCCCACCCACCCACACTTGTATGTTGGTTGTTATGATTATGTGTTACTTGGTTTTATTTTTACTGTCGTAGCTTAGTGGTTTAAGCATGGGGGCAGATCTGTTTGGGGAGGAGGTTGTGCCTGCATGCCTGCCTCCTCCATTTTGGGGGCTCCCATAAGGAGCCTTGGAGTGTGGAGCCACTCAGCTGTATGTCCAGTCGGGGGCTTCTGGCTGGCTTATACCACCAGGTGGCAAGGGGACCATGTAGAGGCCAGTGCCCACATCTATCCCATTATCTTGCCACTCCGCGGTTTTACCCCAGCATGCAGGCTGGGGGAGGGGTTCATTGGGTCAGCAGGGGGGTCGCCCGATGCTTGGATTCATCCCCATACTGCACCATTGCTCCTTTGTCTGTAGTCAAATAAATAAGCTGCAGCCACTTTTTACCAAAACATGCTGTGTGTGTTATTCCTTCCAGTGACTCACCCTCCACCCCTCCTGCAAGGCTAGAATTATGCACAGAAATATAAGTGCACACACATTGGGTTGGCTCCTAAACTACAAGATAACAGCAGTGCTTGTAGAAGGGAGCTTTCGGACTTTCCCCCTTTCCTCCTGACATTCCATATCTGGAAGGTAGACACTCCAGAAGAGGGTGGACATGAGGTGAGTGCTACACTGGAAGAGAAAAATTGTTCCCCCTTCCACTATCATAATTTTTTATTTATTATTTTATTTATTAAATTTATATCCTGCCCTCCCCACCGTGGCAGGCTCAGATCTTTAAGGAGTAAATCATATGCATGTATGCTCTGTCCCTAAATGGGGAAAAATACATTGGGTAATTTTGAAACACAACACAATCTTGAAAAATGATCATTTTTTCCTACTCAATGATCATTTCCCCCCCTTAGAATTATTCTCTTTTGCACTAGATTACACATGCGTTGTGCTTTTAGTTTTTAAATATGCTGCCATAATGTGAAAAGTGATTTCAGTTCCCTCTATATCTTGCATGGAAATGCAAAGTGATATTTTGCTAACATTTTATTTTAACATAGTTGCACCTTCCCTCTACTCATTAAGTACAAATTATGAATTATGAACATCTAAATACTGAATTATGAACATCTATACCTGTTGCAGATCTTCCGCCGTCTGTTTGTCTTCTCCTGTGGGGTCCTTATAGGGCAAAATAAAGAGTTCCGCAGATGTGGGTAAACCAGGGAGGACTGCCACCAAAATGTGTTTGCTGGAAATACCTGTTGCCTGGTGTGTAGAGAAAAAAGGCAAGAATAAACAGGAGCTTTGTCTGAGTGACTTGAAGCGGCTGCCTTCAGGAAAATCAAAAACACAATCTCTGATTCCTTCAGACTAGCAGTAGTCTGACCTAGTAAGTAGTCAGACTAGCAGACGCTTAAAAATTGGGTTCTTTGCCTACTTTAAATGAGAGAAATTATAGTTTATATATGGATTGGTTTACAGACTGCAGCCAAACTGAATTAAAAAGATTTCCTTCCAAAATTTCAAATTTAAATGCTGTTGAATTAAATTTGTACAAATACCAAAAAAATCACCTGCGTTCAATTCTACTTGAATTAATCTTTTTTTGAGCATTGGGTTGAATCCAACCAACTTTTCTGGTGTCGGAAAAGGAGCTGGGGGAGGGGGTTCCTTTACCACCAAAAGACCTATCTTGAGGACCAAAGGGACTTGAATTGAAAAGCTGTCTGGATCTAATGTAATGTCTTCAAATTCTTGGGCCCATGGGATTTTTATGATCTGCAAATATTTCATCCAAATCCATATGCAGTCATAGGCAAGAACTCTTGGAGCAAAAGAAAACAAAACAAAGCAGAAAAACCCTCAAATATGTGCCATAACCTGACATTTTCTTAAATAGTAAGAAGCAACCATATGGGAGAGTGGAGAGGGAAATTTCAATCATTTTTGCATGCTATTGGGCTTTTCCTTTTTCCCTCACATTGTTTCAGCAGTGTAAGTACATACCTCTGCAGGAGATCAGATATCCCCTGTAATGTGTATTTGGGCCCGTAGAGATAGTAACAAGACAAACAGAAGTAATCTAGAGTGTATTAGGTTATCTATATATATCTCAACAAAAGACGTTCTCATAATTCTCCTTGTGTTATTGAACAAAGTACACCATTAGGTGTTTATTTTAAATTTCCTTGTAGCAGCAAAATGGTATTGGTTGGATACTGTAAATTTAACATGTAACATATCAGAATGAATAGCTACATGAAGTTATCTATATACTGGAAATAGATAAATAACCCATTACTAGACACCTAAAATAGAATTTGAAATGTTGGTAGTTATAAACAATTTTGGAACAATTATTATCAAAATCTGTATGTTCATCTATATCTCTAGTTATAGGTATAGTCTTAAATAGCCTAGATGAAAAATAAATTGTTTGTTCTCTATCATTATATTAATAAAAAGATTAAAAAGAATGTAGGGGAGGTAGCCAGAGTTTGGTTAATATGTCACTGACCAAACTGGAAATTTTATTATGAATGTTCTGAGCCACCACATTATTGGCATGGAAACAAAGGGCATGGTCCATGCAAAACATGCAGTGCACTTACGGGTGTATCAAATTAGAGCTATTTCTTTACAAGTTTACAAACAAAATTAAATGGATTTATGTGTCCTGCCAAATCAAATTGCCAGCTTTCTGTAGATGGTCTTGGAAATGAGCTTGGATATCCTCTGGATTTGGATGAATCTATGAAACTAGCCTGACCTTTCTGAGAATGAATTACAACTGCTCTCCGGGCAACCAGATTTCATGATATGCATTTCTCAGTACAGAATTTCCAAGGACAGGAAAAGACCTTTAATTTTACTGCTGCAACACACACACACACCAGTGTTGTAATGCACACAGTAACTCATGTTCATGGTTTATCAGCAAAGAAAACATAATATGAAGAGATTAGAGGAATGCAAAGGTATAGAAAGAACGAAGTAAATATGTGGATACTCAAAACAAAGAAATGGTGGAAAACGAATCCATTAGGGCTGTTTCACCCAGGGTTAAATAATCTGGTGTGACATCTGGAAATAAGGAATTCTGGAAGTGTCCTTACAAATACAGATTAATGAAAGAAAGTCGCAAGGCAATCTAACAAAAATATTAGTGGGATCTCAAAGTTGACACAAGACCAAAACTGAGTCCTCCCATGCTTGCATTATACATTTTCATCATTATTTACTTGCCATCATAATCAGTTCTGATTCAAAAGTATCAGACTATTTTGAAATTTGTTTGAGAAATGTGGAACAGATGCCAAATGGAAAACGCACAGCACCTGCCCCAGTTTAATAGAAGACACTGATCGTCTCCAAGTGAAATTTTTGTTTATGAGTATACATATTTTCTTGATTCCTTGTAGGACCTGGAACCCTTTGGAACATCAGGTCAGCTAATGGGCCCTTTTATAGAAACTGACCTTCTCTCTGTCAGCATAGCACAGAGCCCAGGTCCCTTCTTGTGTTTTATTATGTACCAGCCAAAACCATACTGGCATACCCAGTTTAGGCCTTCTTGGTCCTCTGCAGCTAACACTACCATCATTGTGCATGAAATTTTAAAGGGAATCCAAGCATAGCTTTCTCAAGGTGTATAGGAGATCAATAATTACTACAGATTAGCCATGGCTTGTGCTCTAAATTAGTGATTGTTGTTTGTTTGCATTGCTTAAAATTATGCAAGGGAAACATTGTTTCTGCATTATGAAAATGATGTTGGCATCCTGAAAACAGAATCCAAGGTGAGTTTTCAAAATGGCACTCATTTATGCCCTCGTCTCTATTGGTGGTGGAAAGTGCCATCAAGTTGCAGTTGACTCGTGGCAACTCCATAGGGTTTTTAAGGCAAGATCTGTCCAGAGGTTGTTTGCCATTGCTGGCCTATCCAGAGTAACCCTGGTCTTCCTCGGTGGTCTGCCATCCAAGTACTAAACAGGAGTGACCTTGCTTCGGTTCTGAAATCTCACAAGATCAGGCTAGCCTTGACCATCCAGGTCAGAGCTGTCTCTTTATTCAGACATTTTGGGAAAAGATTGTTGGAAAACTACAACAAAAATCTAACAAACAAATCATACAGATCTCAGTGGGATGGCACTAGGAACATTGGTCTGTAAATTACTTCCCCAGGAATGTTATTTTGCTGACAGGTCCCCCATACTTCTTTGACTTGTTTGGGTACATTTACTCCATAAAGAAAATGCATAGAAGAAATAGTGTTTTAGTTTTCTTCTTCATGGCTAAGCAAAGGCAGCTGTGGTGATTAATGAACTGTATTATCATAGCTCAAGTACAGGGAAATCCAGAGTGACCCAGAAAGTCTTGCTACACCTTAATGTTACCACAGACACGGTTATTACTTCACAAAATGTTAGACTGAAGCAACATAAACTGAACGAAAAATAAGATTAAACACAAGAAACTGTATAATTGCTTTGCTTTAGTTGCTTTAGTTGTTTTTTTAAAAATCCTTTTCACATACTTAGCCTGTTGCAAAAGTGAAAACTAGGGGTGTTCACTTCAAAAAACTATTATTAATTTCAGATCCATTGTCCTTAATTTTGGGGGAGTATCTTTATTGATTCAGTAGAAAAGAGCAAGAGTCCAGTAGCACCTTAAAGACTAACAAAATTTGTGGCAGGGTATGAGCTTTCATGAGTCACTGCTCATCTCTTCAGATATAGCTAGAATGGGAGTCCATCTGTCCTATGTACTGGAAAGTGGAAAGCAGCACTCTGCTGCTGAGCCTTGGTCCTTCTCCTGTGACTAGCTTCCAATAATATTTGTGAATGCTAAGAATCAGAGAATCACAGGCCATCTAGTCCAACCCCCTGCTCAATGCAGGATCAGCCTAGAGCATCCTTGACAAGTGTTTGTCCAGCCCTTGCTTAAAGACTGCCAGTGAGGGGGAGCTCACCACCTCCCTAGGTTGCTGATTCCACTGTTACACAACTCTTACTGTAAAAAGGTTTTTCATAATATCCAGCTAGTAACTTCCCACCCTTAATTTAAACCTATTATTGTGTGAGTCCTATCCTCTGCTGCCAACAGGAACAGCTCCCTGCCCTCCTCTAAGTGACAGCCCTTTCAAACACTTAAATACACCAATCATGCCCTCCCTCAGCCTCCTCTTTTCCAGACTGAACATTCCCAAGTCCTTCAGCCTTTCCTCATAGGGCTTGGTCTCCAGGCCCCTGATCATCCTCATCACTTTCCTCTGCACCTGCTCCATTCCGTCCACATCCTTTTTGAAGTGAGGCCTCCAGAACTCCAGGTGCGGCCTGACCAATGCAGTGTACAGTGGGACTATGACATCTTGCGATTTGGATGTTATGCCTCTGTTGATATACCCCAAGATCACATTAGCCTTTTTTGTCACTGCACCACACTGGCTGCTCATATTTAACTTACAGTCCACCCCATACTCCAAGATCTTGTTCACACACACTGCTACCCAGAAGTATATCCCCCATCCAGTATGCGTGTTCCTCATTTTTGTTACCCAGATGTAGAACTTGGCACTTATCCTTGTTAAATTGCATCTTGTTCACATCCACCCACTTTTCCAGTGTGTTCAGATCTCGTTGGATTCTATGTCTAACTTCTGGTGTGTTTGCTGCTCCTCCCAATTTGGTGTCATCTGCAGATTTAATCGGTAGCCCCTCCTCACCCTCAACAAGATCATTTATAAAAATATTGAAAAGTATCAGGCCCAGAACCGAGCCCTGTGGCACCTCACTGGACACCTCCCTTCATTCAAATGAAATGCCATTGACAACTACTCTTTCAGTGCGGTTCTCCAACCAGTTCCCTATCCACTTAACTATTCTAGAGTCCAGTCCACAGTCCTCTAGTTTACCCATCAGAACGTCATGGGAAACCATGTCAAAAGGTTTACTGAAATCCAGGTAAACAACATGAACAGCATTCCCTCAATCCAGAAAGCTTATCATTCAATTTTTTAAATTTATTATTATGTTTTTATCCCACCCTCCCCACAAATGGGCTCAGGGTGGCTAACAAACAAGGGCACCAAAGAAAGAGATAAGGGGACAAATCCATGCTGACTTCCCCGGATCACCAAATTGTTCTTTAGATGCTCACAGACTGATCGCTTTAAAATCTGCTCCAGTATCTTCCCTGGGTCAGAGGTCAGACTGACTGGCCTGTAGTTTCCTATGTCATCCCTCCTCCCTTTTTTGAAAATTGGGATAACATCTGCCCTTCTCCAGTCTTGTGGCACATCTCCCATCCTCCAGGGCATCTGGAAGATGATAGACAAAAGCTCTGCAAGCTCTCTAGAAAGTTCTTTGTGCACTCTTGGGTGTATACCACCTGGCCCAGGGGATTTATATTCATTCAGTGTAGCCAGGTGCTTCTCACTATTTGCTTTATCTTAATCTATAGCCCGTGTCTGCTTCCCCCCATTACCACTGGGAAGTCACAGAAGTTACTCTTACAAGTCATTCTCATGTCTGAAATTGGATTATAGAAGAATCTCTCCCAGTGTCAACTTGCAAAACAGGTGGAAACACAAACAGTGTGGAAGAAAGAAAGGCATCAATCATAAGTAGCAACATTTTCTCCACTTACTTCAACAAGTGCTCTTTTGATAACTCGACTGATATCCCGCCTCCATTCAGGAATATCAGGATTGTATTCATCAAGATTTGGAGAGAAGGCTAGCCGTAAAGACTGAAATTGTTCTAGAGAAGGAAAAACGCAGGAATGTTATGAGTGAAAACTCTTCAAACAAGGTGATTCCATTTTTAAAAGCTTGCTTTACTTTCTAATCAAAGATATTACTTCACATTGTATAATGTGCCTTGTTGTTTGCAAATCATTGGTCTAGTTGCCAAGAGTATCTTCTGTCAGCTTCTTCTAATTCACCAATTCTGTCCATTCTGGTTATGACTTTTAAAGCACTTCATAGCCTAGGACCCATATCTCTAAAGGACTGTATTCTTCCATATGCCTCTTCCCATATGTCTCCAAGTGCCAACGACAGTCCTTAGGCTGCTGTTCCTCCAATGAAGGTGGCCTGCCTGACATCAACAAGAACTAGTGCCCCTTCATAGCTCCCATTCAGTGGAACAGGATCCCTGAGCAGGTAAGGAGGGTACCATCTTCAGGAGGCACTGCAAGGTCATTTTGGTTTCCAGGGTGTTTAATGAGGTCTAACCTGAAGTCTCTTTTGGAGTGAGTGGGGTTATTTGTGGGTTTTGTTAGTTTTAAATCGTGGTGTTTTAATGATGATTTTAAGCCACCTTAACCCACAGGAAAACAGGATATAAATACATTAGTTAAGAACAACAACAACAATTTTAGATGACCAAAGTTTATCAGTCATCAGATCTTTTCATTTAAGAACTATAGTAAATGATTATCAGTCCAGCTGAGAACACTGAATGCAGCGCAGCAAATATTCCACTATAATAAACAGATGATAACATGGCTGACATGACATTGATGTTTAGGGTTAATTCAGGGTCATTTTACATGATGTCACTTCCAGGCGTGCAGGAAGTGACTGGTCATCGGGACACTGTTTATGTTCCCCCACTTTTCTTGCCATTTCCCCCTTCACTGGCCAGCTGAGCAGTGACAGAGATGTGTCTTGTGGAGGTGGAGAATCCCCCACCCCAGCAGGCTAACAGCAAGCCTGGCAATATATCACATGAAAGATTCATCACAATAGTTCAAAATAGTGCATCCAACCATAATTTGTTCTCATTGCTTGCAATTCTCATTTGCTACATGCAGTCAAAAACACAAGAAAAGTCTTGTGGCACCTTAAAGACCAGCATGTTTATTGATGAATTGGCTTTCACAAAACTGAGTCCACTTCATTAGATGCATGAAGTTAATTTTCAGTCATCAGATCTTAATGCACAAAGAATACACAGGAAAAAATACCAATGAGTTAAAATCCATAGTAGTGTGTGACATTTCTGTGTAACACTTAGAGATGCACAGCAAAAAAATCACATTTGGAATTAGTGATAACACAAATTACTTAATTATGTTAAGCAATTTAACACCTACTGAGAAAACTGTCTGAAATGTTGGGCCCCTGGCTAATACTGTCAGTTTGGTGTAGTGGTTATGTGTGTGGACTCTAATCTGGGAGAACCGTGTTTGATTCCCTACTCCTCAACGTGCAGCTGCTGGATGACCTTGGGCATGCCATAGTTCCGTCAGAGGTGTTCTTGAAAAACAGCATTTTCCGTCAGAGCTCTCTCAGCCTCACCTACCTCACAGGGTGTTTGTTGTGGGGAGGGAAAGGGAAATGAGTTTGTAAGCCACTTGAGACTCCAAGTGAAGGGCGGGGTATAAATCCAATCTTCTTCTTCTTCTCCTCCTCCTCCTAGAACAAGCTATCTATAACTCTGACCGAACTTTATATGGTTTTACATTATTGTGTTGTAGCTGCATTATTTGCTGCCTTTCAGAATGATGCCATTTAAATTCTGCAGACTTAGGGATTTAGTGCCTCCTGCAATGATTCTTAAGTGTTTTTCGAACAGAAGCATTGGGTCAGTTTCTGATTAAATCAATTTCAGCTTAGCACTGACCCAGAGAAAAACTCTTAATGTTGAAAAGCCCAAAGATCTAAAAGCAATCAGCTCATTAAGTGTTGTGGGTATATGAACCAGCCTACAGAGACTGCTTGATATCAGGCAAAACTCTCATTTACAGTGGTTACTCTGATATTTTTTCTTTCTGCTTCCACCCAAAATGCAGCCATCTTATGTAGCAATTAGAATATTTGTCTTTTGAAAGGATGCAAATGAAACACTCCAAAACATCCTTCAAAATAAGTGAAGCAGCCTGGCAATTAGTTTAAAGGGCTGAGCAGCAGGGGAAACTCAGACAGGGGAATTTAAGAAAAAGTGTTACACTAAGCTCAGTGTTTGAAATATGGGGAAAGGATTCTCGGTGTAAGTTAGACATCCATTTTGTGGGAGCTCTGAGCGCTACATTAACATTTTTCAGCTTAGATTTCTTCTAACTGGAATAATGTTGGGAGTATTGAATTGGGAAATGCAAATGCTAACTGCATTTCAATAGAAAGTAAATTTCATTCTGAATGGGAAAAGGACAAAAATATCTCAACCAGCTCACCTGGTTTTTAACATCCCAGTTAAATCTCCCACACATAGTTATTTCTTTCTTCTCCTTAATGTTTAGCAGTATTACAAAGTGTGTGAATAGTATGGTACAACTGATATATCTGGTAACCACAGAGCAATCTTTAATAGAGCTATACCCTTCCATATGCATTGAAGAAAATGGTGCTAGAAAGGTGTAATTTTGTTTAGGATTGCACTACAAGTGTATTGGACAAGTGCTCTTTTCAACTAGGTCTGGGTCCAACCTTCTATGAGTTAACCATTACCCTATTTAAAATACAGCCACAGTTATTGTGAAAATCAGGATGCCTTTTTGGTTTGGGGACTGATTTGGTGCATTTGCTATCCTTGGGATTAACGAGAAAGTTTCCCTTGCTCAAAAACCAGTTGAATCCAACTCTAGAGGGTGGTGCTCATCTCCGTTTCCAAGCCGAAGACTTTCCAAGCCGTTTCCAAGTCTGAAGACGTTTCCGTGGTCATGTGGCCGGCATGACTAAATGCTGAGGTGCACGGAATGCTGTTACCTTCCCACCAAAGTGGTACCTATTTATCTACTTGCAATTTCTTGCTTTCGAACTGCTAGGTTGGCAGGAGATAGGAGCTCACTAGGGATGTGCATTCGGTTTGTCCGAACCGAATGCACCCCCCAAAATGGCCCATTCGGACCCCTTTCGGGCTGCGGCAGGCCGATTCAGATTTTCCGATCTGAATCGGCTTGCCGCCGAATTGCCACCGAATTTCAGCGGCAATTCGGCCCCATTATATCCTATGGACCATTGAAGTCAATGGCGAAAACACAGGGTATATTCTGGGGGCTGGAAAGGTTTGAGGGAGAGCTGCTGGAGCCTCTCCCCAAGATAACAACCAGGTAACCTTTTTCCCACTATAGATAACAATGGAGGGGATATGGGACACCTGTTTGAGGGCTCGTAGAATTGGACCCCCTGGTCCAATGCTCTTGAAACTTGGTTGGCATTTTGGGGAGAGGCTCCAGCAGCTACCCTGCAAATTTAGAGTCTCTCCCTCAAGACCCCTTCCCTCCAGCCCCAGAATATACCCTATGTTTTCACCATTGACTTCAATGGCCCATAGGATATAATGGGGCTGAAATTGACATTCGGCTGGCCAGCTGGTACTGATGAAACTGACATGCAGGAGTCTTACTGCCAGCCGAAATTGATTCTGCCCGATTCGGCTGAATCCGAATGGGCTGATTTGTTGTTTGTTTGTTTTTGCACACCCCTAGAGCTCACTCCATCATGCAGTACTAGGGTCTTAAACTGCTGAATTACAGACCTTCTGGTCTGCAGATCAGCATCTTAACCTCTGAGCCACTGTGGCCCCTATACTTGGGATTAGGAGCAGACATTAATACCTTCTGGAAAACTCCATCAAGAGATTCCTGACTGGATCCAAAGGACCACTTGGTGCCAGAGGGCAAAAGGCTATAATAAAGCTATAGGCCAGAGGGAAGCCATGCTAACATTATGCTTATGCTTTGATACACTATGCTTCATCATGATGGGCTGCACTGCTTGGATTGTATGCTGCAAGAAGATATGCCACCTAATACTAGGTACTCAATGTATTAGAACAATATCTTCTTTATTTTCTCTGTTGCTAAGCTGTAGAGACTGTCCTGCATAGGGAAATATTTTTAAATATTTTAACAAACCTTTATATATTTTAAAGATCTGCTTTATTTGTATGCATTTAACCTAAAGACCCACAGGGCTGGGCATTGCTCAAGGGACAAGGAGCAATAACCCAGAGGGGACCCAAGTTTGGATTTCTGACATAGATGCATGGCATTCCTTGGGTCAAATCCATTTGGGGTACAAAGCCTACAAAAAGAACATAAAATCCTGAACATAATGGATATCTTTCATGTGCATACAGCTACACAGAACTCTGTAGAACAGAGGAAATATGCTGTCCTTTCAATGGCTATTGGTCTAGACAACCTGATATAGGTACCTTACATACATCCAATTTTGTGTGGTTTTATCCTGCCCATATTCATGTAGCCCAGTGAGAAATACTCAAGGTGGTTTTGGAATGGATTAACAAAAGCAATAGGGCTCACCATATACTGCAATTGTCTTGGTGTCCTGAAGAATGGCATTCCCTGCAGAAACCTGCACTGTGATAGTGTTCATCCCTTCTGTAGAGAATGTAAATGTGATGCTCCCTTCTAGGGTGATCAGTGGCTGCAAAAGAACAAGAAAAGAATGGGGAAGGTACATAATCCTGTTGTGTGTTTTATTTGTAGGTGCACAAACAGCCAGGCAAGGATCTTCCTCCTGACTTATTGCAAATCTACCTGTTTGAATGGAGCATTGGCCTGGAGAAGGCAATAAAGGAGCTACTATAATATTATTCTGCTTCAGGAATCCTAGAAGCAGACATCTGGAAGGGATAAACAGAATATTTAGTAGAAAGACTATCCTTAAAAGACTCACTGATGAATTCACATCATCCGGATCAGAGTGTACAAAAATCAGATGAATGGCAGGAATGTCCCTGCAGAGCTCCAGAGTAAAGTGGAAATATTCTAGAGTTACCAACCAACTTGACCTGGACCAACCTTTCTTTGTCATCCTGACTCACAGTAATGAGTTCAACAATGAGCATCAACAGAAGCCCTTCATGAGACATTTAAAAATTGGGATAGTAACAAGAGAAAATGGGACTGTTGTACACCACCCTGAGTCCTGTCTTACAGAGGAGGGAGGTGTAGAAATTTAATGTATAAATAAATATAAAATAAATAAATAAGAAAGTGACACAAAGCAGAGAAAAAAGAAAAAAACCAAAATAGAAAAGAAGCAAAGGAATGACTCTTTCAACAGGAACCCTATGTATTAGCCAGAACACAGCAGGTCATCTGTTCAAGTCCTAAGAGATGAGGTGATACTCAACAAAGCACAGAAATGCTGTGAAACCAAAAGTCACTGAGTTAAGATGGTGGGGTAGATAAAACTTATATACACCATTTTAGAATGTTCCCCCCCTCCAACCACTACGTGGTCAGCTACTCTGGTGCAACCAAGGTATATGATGACCGGTTGCAAGTGATTAACAATGGGATTACAATTGGAAGGTAGCATCAGAGGGTGGTTTAATCTCAAAAAAGGCTGCTGATGTAAATCTGCAGTGCATGGTGCACTGTTCTGTATGTCACCACCAGAACGCATACTAATAGGATGGGATGAAAACCTGGGAATTATATGTCAGATATGACCAATGGTTGTTGTTTTCATCATTCACATGTTCCCATCAAGGCATCTTTACATATGTAGTGGGTTGGATCCCAACTAAATTTTCCATCAGCCCATCAGGACATTCTTGCCGCTTCTCTCCCATGGCACCCCACAGATCTCTATGAAATGCTGCTCCTGTGGATTAACCAACCCTGAGTCATGACATGGTAAGGTCTGCAGAGGAAGGGGAAAATTGGTGGAAACTGCCAGTTTCTGGATCCATTACCACTCCACCCTGTACATAAGGAAAACTTTGTCAATCATGCTTGTCTCATTTCTGTTTACTCCCTACTGAAAATTAAAGGCGTCTGTGAGAAGTGCAGCAATACAAATAAAGAACAATTTGATCAGGCACCTGTTAAAATCCCTCCAAAACACAAATGAGGCAGAAAAAGGGGGTGTCTTTTTTGTGCCTATTCTTTTATGCTAAATACAGTCCGTAGGCAGAGAAATGTGCTACATATCATTTCACTTCTCCTAGTGTGTGGTAATGAGGCATTCTTTCAGCTTAACTGCGCAAATGAGAACTTCAAATAGGTTGAGCAGTATGAAAGTGTAGGTGTTGGCACTCTAGGCAAACATTCCTTTTTTATTAGTCCTACAGAACACATGGATTAGAATTTACAGTTTAAACCCTGAAGCAGTGCAGAGGGAGCATCAGCCAGATTCAAAACTTTTATCTCTCAAGTCTGGGTTTGTAACATGAATTTTCTTCTTTTTAAAATTAAAAGAATCTGTGTTTTACATAAGAGAAAGAGAAAAAGGCCCACATCGTGGAATCTTTAATAATCTGTCACTTTGCAGTTTTCTCAGTTTGATCTCTTCAGCCATGTCCAATGGGGGATTGGTGATTCACATAAAATGCAAATGAGGCCTAAACACAGAGAGTTAAGCAAGTTTATAAAAAAGCTGATTTGCAACATAAAAGTGCTGAGAATTGCTCTCTGTGATTTGCACGGGTTTGTAATCCATTCCTCGAGAGAATTTGAAAGCCCCACAATAATGTTATTATGTCATGATTTGACAATTAATTTTAGCTGCATAAACGACAAACCTCAGTGTTGTTTCCGAACCACCAGATGTAAGTTAATGTTCCAACTTGACTGGGCCACAGAACGGCTGTGGCATTAACTTCTTTGTTCTTTGTTGTTACAAATGGCAGTGATAAATGGACGTGTTCCAAAGGGCCTGAAAACAAGGAGGGGGGATTGTAAATTAGTTTTGTCCATTAATATTCTAATCTTGTCCTGTCCCTCTCCCCAGCTTCAATAAGTGTTGCAAGCCTCTTCATACATTATAAAATGGTACCATTAAATGATTTCTGTACTGTGTGTGTGTGATTCCCTAGATATAGATCACAGTATGATCTTACACATGTTGCATTCATACTATATGGAGCTATGGACAACTGCAGCTTCCCAGCTCATACACTTGTAACAAAATACATATAGAAGATCATTATACATAAAATCAATACAATAGATTGCTTCAAATTCTTACACAGAAGTGACTTCTGTGTAGGAACTTTGTAATGTGTTAAACATTGTTGATTTATATAGCCATTTTCAAATGGAACTGAGAATGTTGTTTGAGTTTTTAACTTCAAACCATGCGATTGGATTCACCATATTCCTTGATTCAATATCTCAAACCCCCCCCCCCTCATTATTTTGGCATAAGTACAGTCATAGAGGAGTCAATCAGCCCACTTCAGGAAGAATCAAGGCAACTTGCAGTGTTCTTTAAATAAAGGTAACACTACTCAGCTGACAGAAGAAATGAGTGCCTGATGCTCATGGTAAAAAGACCACTGAGGTCATTTTCACATAACAGAGTATATTTTGCTCCCAATATAGGTACTGATTTTACTACGAACAGGATTGCCAGCCCAGTGCTGGAAACTTTAAGAGACTGGAGGGGGGGGGAGACCTTTGACAGTTCTGTGAAGTGCCACAACATCATTGGGAGTGACATAACTGTGCTGCGTGGCACTCAAGTGCTTCCCCAACAATCTGCAGTGAAAATCAAAGTGACCAGAGAAAATGCTATAGTGCTATGCACTGCAACAATGGCACATCTCATTTCCTAGCTGGAAGTGATATCGTGGTGTTGCACAATGTAATTTCCCCCCATTTCCCTTCCCACTGCTCCAATGAGTACTGTGGAGGGACTGGGAGCACCAGCAGAGTTTCCCAACTGGAACCAGGCATTTGGCAACAAAGACTCAGTGGCTCAATGGATGAGAATTTAATTTGCACACAGAAGGCTCTGTGATCAGCCCTTAGTACTTCCTATTAAATTACCTTGGAGAGCAGTGTTAAAGAGACCTTCATATGAGGCCTTGGTAATTTGCTACCAATTAGAGTAGCTACTACTGTGCTAGATTTCAGATTGATCTAATGCAAGATAAAGCAGCTTCATATGTTCAGATGAATAATCTAATCTTTGTATTATTGGATGAAAGAAGTCTTTGACCAGTTCAGACATAACACAAAATCATGATTTTTTAAAAAAGATTTTGCTCACAGACTATCATTCATAGCTTTTTCTCCTGTCTCCCCAACAGAGTCCCAGCTGATAGCCTCACCTACATTACAGTGAGGACAGTGCTGGGGAACAAGACAGAATTAGGCCAGGATGTCCACATTTGTACATGACATAAATCCATCAGCAAGATAAACTGTGGTGAATAGTTTCAGAACCTGGTTTGATGTATGTTCATAAACCATAGTTCATGGATTGCTGACATTTGGACAATCCCAGGAACTATAGTTATTTTAATTAAACCATGGTTTTGCGTGAAAGCCTTTCCGTCAATCAACTCTTAAAAATAATATGTATGTAAACAAGTTATTTGCTTATTTCTGCAAACTATCCAGGGAACACCTTGATTGCCAGATTCCAAACTCAGAATGTAATGCATGTCACAATATGCAAAGTATCATCCCACATTTTGATCAGTTATTCCAAGCGGTCAACAATTCAGATTGCATTGCTTGGGACACTGATACAATGTGTGAGTGTTTTGATTTACTGTCTTTGCTTTGGAGCCCATTGTATCTGGAAAGTTTAATTCTAACCATTGGTTTTGGAAGTAGTTGCACTGGGACTAGCCTGGATTAAGGATCTAAGGGTTGTAGCCTCACCATGGCAAGTGAAAGTGCATAGAGGTTGTAGTCAGGTGGCTAAGGAATTTTATTTTATTACGTTTATATCCCATCCAATCCCAAAAATGGCCCCAGGGCAGCTCACAACATAGAAGAATAAACTAAATCTGAATCCAGACAAAACAGAAGTAATACTGGTAGGGAAGGGTGATATTCTAGAGGGATTGTCCTAGAGGGAGTGACATTGGCTTTTTCAGTGCAGGTTAAGAGCTGGGGGGGAAGTTGCCTATGGACCCTGTCTTGGTATTTGAAAGGCAGGCTAGCATAGTGGCTAGAACAGGAGTACCTTTAATCAGCTGCATCTGATTCACTAACTCTCTAATTATCTAGACTCAGCTGATTTGGCCACACTGATTCATGCTTCTGCAACCTCATGGCTGCATTACTGCAATGTGCTCTGTGGAGAGCTGCTCTTGAGAACAACCTGGAAACGACAACTGGTCCCGAATTTGGCAGCCCATCTACTGTCAGAGGCTGGCCACAACTATATTGGCTGCCACAGTGTTTCCAAGTTCAATTCAAGGTCCTTTAAAGCGCTTCATGACCTGGGACCCACATATTTGAAGGACTGTCTCTTTCCATATTTCCCTGAGTACCAACTATGATAATCAGGCAGCCATCTGTTGGTTTTCCCAAAACTTAGGGTGGACCATCTTAGCATCCGCCAAAGTCCAGGCCTTTTCTATCATGGCTCCAGTTCTGTGGAAAGGGCTCCTTCAGGGGTGAGGGGGCCCTCTCCTCAGAGATCTTCATGAGGTGTTGCAAGGCCTGCCTGTTCACCATGGCTTTTGAGGGGGGTTTGAATGGTAGGCATGTTCTAAGGGAGGAGAGGGAAGAGATTAGGGGGTTGCTATTTTGATTTTTACTGAAAATGTTTTAAATTACTATTGAAAGTTGCCTTGAACCACAAGGAAAGGTGGGATATGAATGTTTTAATAAATAAATAAGATTGAAGGATAACAATGTTTTTGGTACTGCTCCCTCTAAGCTGTGGAGCCTTGTGAGCAAAAATTCTACTTTGTGAGCTACTGGCATTAAAGTTGTGAGTGAATAATTTTGGCTACTGCATAAATTAGTTTGTTCTGGAGCCATCCTTCCAGAGCTAAGACAAAATTGTGTGAGCTGGAGGCTAAAAAACTGTGAGCTAGCTCACACTAACTCAGCTTAGAGGGAACACTGTTTAGGATTGTAACTTGGCTTAGAAAGGCCACATTCTCAGCAGGCAGTGATGGTGTTAATAGAAGGGTGTGGTATTTTCATAAAATCCAGACAGTCAAAGAATATCGCATTCACCACAAAGAAAGTCAGAAAGATACTCAACCACACGCACATAGTCTATGGTCGACAGGAATCTGTTGCTAGCACTGATTCACCTCTTCAGTAATCCCATCTGTAAAGTTCCTTCTCTTGTCGCTTATTTCCTATGCACAGACAATTTGCAAAACCGCAGAAGAATTACACTTGGACTTCTCCCTACTGCCCTCTGTCTCTCATTTGGAATATATTTTAAAGAAAATAAAATGAAGATAATAACCCTGAAAGTGTTTCAAGATAAGATTTTTTTTTAAGATTGTAATAGACAGCATAAATAGACCTAAGTCCGGCAGCACCTTAGAGACTGACAAGATTTTTTGGATTTTGAGAGTCCAAGCTCCTTTTGTCAGTTATCAGATGAAGGGAGTTTTGACTCGGAAAAGCTTATACCCTGAAAAACTTGTTAGTCTCTAAGGCATTACTAGACTTGAACCTAGCTCTTCTACCGCAGGCCAACATGGCTATCCTCTGAAACTATTATATAGCACCATGACCTGTGCTGTCCATCAGTGTGGCCAATCACAATGAAACAATTGATTGTTTGACCCCTTTGTTATTCTTATGAAGTATTCATACATCATACAAAATGTTATGGCTTCTGCCTTCTGTTCTTATCTGAGTGCTCAGAGGCTACTCTTTTTCCTCCTGTCCATACACTTGTCATTGCTTATTATTTATTTAATTTATACCCCACCCTCCCTGCCAAAGCAGGCTCAGGGTGGCTTACAAGCCCACTGGCATCATAAAAACAATTAACATTATAAAACAATTCATAAGGTGCTACATTTGTATGATGGCGGAATGGGGAATCTAGTCAGCAATAAATAAATATGAGGCTGGCGTCCGGCTCCATAGCATGTAGTTCATTAACGTGGGCGCAGATGTTAAGTGCAGGCGGCCAAAAATGGATTATAGGACACAGGTTCCTCAGTCGATGTTTAACAATTTGATGCGGCATCTCAATCAAACGCTTGGTGGAAGAGCTCCATCTTGCAGGCCCTGTGGAATTGTAATAAACCCCTCAGGGCCTTGATGTCCTCAGGGAGCTCATTCCACCAAAGTGCAGTGCTTTCAGTTCAGGCTGAATGTGCTCCCTCAAAGGGAGACCCAATAAAAGCCTGGCTGCTGCATTCTGCACCAGCTGTAGCTTTCAGATTTGGGACAAGGGCAGCCCCATGTAGAGAGCATTACAGTATTCCAGCTTTGAGGTGACAATTGCATGGATCATTGTTGTCAGATCACTTCATTTGAGGAAGGGAACCAACTGCCTAATCAGCTGAAGATGGTAAAAGGCAGACTTGGCAGTGGCTGCTACTTGGGCCTCCATCATTAAGGAGGCATCCAAGAGCACTCCCAAGCTCCTAACCTCCAAAGCAGGCACCAATGGCACCCCATCAAAGGTTGGGAATGGGATCCCTAACCCTGGACTGCCACGACTCAGACACGGGACCTTCGTCTTCGTCGGATTTCAATTTATCTGCACTCACCTGTATTACTGAGGAACAAACAACCACAAACTACTTATGGCTAGGGATGTGCATTTCGGGATCCCGAACCGAAAAAAAGCCGAAAATAACGTTTTTCGGCTTTTTTCGGCTTTTGCAATCCCGAAATGGCTTCCTATGCATTTTCCCGAATCCCGAAAAAAAATCCCGAAAAAATTCGGGTCCATTATAACCAATGGGGCCATTGAAGTCAATGGCAAAA